TTTCATTGAGTATACACTGTGAAAAATTATTTACCTAACTGCAATATTTGCGTTTTGATAGAATCATAAATAATATTCAACGTTAAACTGGTACACAATTAAAAACATTTTACTTAGGCCTTCAAAAAGTTGATGACTCTATATGTTTCGACGTTACAACAAGGATAATGTCGAAACGTGTAGAGTCGTCAACTTTTTGAAGGCCTAAGTAAAATGTTTTTAATTGTGTACCAGTTTAACGTTGAATATTATTTATGATTTTATCAAAAGGCCAATATTGCAGTTAGGCAAATACTTTTTCACAGTGTATACTCAATGAAACATTATAAAAAAAAATTAAAAGTGCTTTTTTAAGTTTGTAAATACCTGAAAGTGATCAGAATACTCATTTTGACAAGTAATAAAAAAGCATTTGAAAAAATAAGGATGATGAAAAGATGGCAATGCCAAAAAGTACAGAAACAAGGTTGGGTTGAATACACAAAACTATCCAAAATTCCCTACATAAGTAGCAAAATCTTTCGAAGAAAAACTTAACCACAACTAAATGTTGAATTCCTTTCACCTGCATGAATTCAGGTTTGAATAAAAGCATTTAAGCTCAATAATTTTATAAAGTCTTACAATGGCTAATAACCATAAGCTTGTAACATTGATTCAGTGGTTACTTATGTAGGGAATTTTGTATAGTCTTGTGTATTCATCCCTACCTTGTTTCTGTACTTTTTGGCATTTACATCCCTACAACATATTAATTTTTTTCAAACTTATTATTTATTAGTTGTTTCTCCTCTTTTTTTTTTCAAACAATACCAATGAATATTAATTAATGGAAGTCGCTATGAAGACAGCAGTTTTAGCCTGGCACGATGAGTTGTCTTGATGGACGTCATGTGTTGAAGTTAGCGAAATGCTATACTGCTTCTGCACTCCCAAAGTTAAAATGCAACATTTTGGTGTGTAAATTATCACAACAACTTCAAGCTTGGTGAGCTAGCCCTTCTGATGCCAAAATCAGAATAATCAGCAGATCAATTGCCTGTTACGCTACTCACCGGTTCTCTACTTTAGCGGAATTTTTT